TGCTCTCCTTGTGCGTCGCCCAGATGAACTCGGGCTTCTCCTTGTGCAGCGCCGCGAGCTCCTTGCGCAGCCGGTAGGCCGCGCCCTTCTTCCCGCCGGAGGCCATTGGCGCTGAAGGGGTCGCCGAGCGAGTCACTGGGACGCCATCGCTTTGCTTCGTTTTGCCGATGTTGCCTGGGATGTTGCACTTGGACCGGTACTCTCGATGCCCCCGGGTTAGACGAGGCACGCGGCGCCGTCCGCGTGCCGCCGCGCGCGCGCCGCGGCGTTGAGGGAGCCCGCCTGCTTGAGGGCGACGAGCTCGGACGCGCGGGACGTGTGGACGACGGTGCAGTTGGAGCAGTCCCGGTGGTCGCCGTACATGATGCAGAGGACCTCCTCCTCGCCCATGGCCCGGTTGTCGAGGCAGAACCAGAACGTCACGAAGGACGACAGCACGGCGAAGGTGAACTCGAAGTAGTGGGCGACGCGCTCCGCGTCCGGCAGGCCGCTGTTGTAGACGAGGACCTGGACGGCGGCCGTCGCCGCCGCGGCGAGGGCGATGGACGCGTTGACCGCGCCGTCGCCGCCGGCGCCCGGCCCCGGCTCCGCGCCGCGCCGGCGCCGCACGAGCGACGCGAGGAGCACGAGATTCGCGAAGGCCATCGTGAGCTCGTTGCAGTACTCGATCTCGTGGCTCGCGACCTCGAAGGCCTCGAGGTTCAGGGTCACGAGCAGCGCGGGCACGAAGGTGGCGACGACGTCGAAGAAGAGGAGCAGCTTCAGCAGGTTCGGCCGGTTCGAGATCGACGACAGCGCGCGCGGCGTGTAGACGAGCGCGAAGGCCTCGACCATGGCGTAGGCCGCCGTCGCCCAGAACTCGAGCGCGTGGAAGACGAAGGCGGACACGGGCGACCCGCAGCGCGCGACGTAGACGCTGTCCGGGTCGCCGCAGTCGTCGTCGTCGCGGTTCAGGTAGTTGAGCACGAACATGGTCACGTTCACGCCCATGTAGAGCAGCGTGAGGAGCGCGAGGACGAAGTTGACGAAGCACAGGTCCTTGAGCTCCTGGACACGGAAATGCAAGATAATGTTGCTGCTCACGTTCAACCGGCCGTCGCGCGGGAACGCCGGCAGGGCCGGACCGCGCAGCGGCGTCGTCTCCTTCGGCGTCGAGGAGCCATTGCCCGGCAGCTCCATCGTGCGAATTGGAAGCTGCCCCGCCGACGTTGACGTGGAGAAACTTAAACCGCGCGCTCGCTCGATCTTTTGGCGCCGGGCTGCTTATGACAGCACCCCTGCGGAACGCTATGTTACGGAGCGACTCCCTGGAGAACATGAAGAAGTACGTGTCGAACTACAACATCTTCGACGGGCCGAAGAAGGCGCCGGCGACGGTGCGCTTCACGCGCGACGCGAACATCGAGATCATCCGCGTCTCCAACGGCGACGACGACGTCGACTTCTTCGGCACGCCCGTGGCGCCCGACGGCCCCGGCCCCGGCGCCCGCGAGGCGCCGGCGGAGGCCGCGGCGCCGGCGCGCGCCGACGACAAGCTCCGGGCGACGGCCT